AGCAAACAACTTCATTTTGTACAAAATGAACGAGACTCTGGTTCATTTATTGATAGGGGCGTTCATTTCACTTTCTCTGATAACCATTTTTAGAATTCCATCCAATTTTAGAGCTTATAGAAGCTATAAAAAATAATGATAGTAAGTGCATAAACGTGACGATAGGGCATGTAGTCACTGCTACAACAAGTATAAGGTTCAAGAGCAATTTATTGTCGACTTCATCTTTTCAACTTAGTGACCTCAGCTCTCACAGAGATCCATGTTCCTTCATCACCATCATTTTCATTAACACCACACTATTTTGAACCCAGGGCGTTTACTTTCAAAAAAGTGAAGAGATCGTAAGTTCATCAGCCAATCATTGACGGCCTTTCAAGCCACTCTTTTAAAAACAGTTAAGAGATCGTAAGTTCATCAGCCAATCATTGACGGCCTTTCAAGCAAAATCCACCAATCATAGACAAGAAAATAGAGCGTAAGTACTTACGTTCACTTGGCGAGTTTTGAAAGTATGGCCCCAGGTACTGAACCGTCTTAACATGTTAATTAATGTATATAATACCTTCTTTCAGCGCGCAGGGTTAGCAGGCTGAACCCAACAGTTTGCTAGTTCGTTTTCTCTATTGCACATGTATGAATTTAGAAATGTTTTATTGTGACACTCTCAGATTTTTTAACGACGAAAAATATGGCGCGTTAGTGAACAGCGGTTCGCTGGGCGTCGTGCAAGGACCCATGATAGCTCTATATGTATAATTAGTTCAAAATTACCTGAAACCTTCCTTGTTCTTCATAGTACTATTTATGCCAGAAATTAGTTACTTTAATATGAGCTCCATTTTGATCGAAATCGAGCCCAATATACTTTTTAGCCGTGATTATTTTTCAAAATTGACAGAAAACGTAAACAGAGTTTATTTAACTTAAATTCTCTTATTGCTTGTTTTGAAAGAAATTATAATGATAATATTCGATGTAATATACATTAACTGGAGATGTGGTCATCTTTTGTGACTATATGATAAAAAGTATTTGATAATATCATATACTTTTATGATATATGATATTATATGTATATGATATGATCACATACGAAAGTATATGATAAAATTAAGCTCATTATCTAGAACCGACAAACTTAAACTGTAAGCCGCTCTCAGAGAATGTCTACCAAAGTCAACTCTAATTTTGTAACTGTTATAAGCTATAACGAACTATATGATGGAAGTATGAATTGCCGTAGGGTATGGAAAAGTAAAGTAATGTGCTACCCAGTTAGCCGTTCGTCACTTGTAGTTGACCCACTACCAGCGTATGATGTTTTCTCCCATTCAAATTGCCTATGGTGAGCCGCTTATGAAGCCAAAAGCAAGGCGGGTAGTCGTTAGACGAATATTTCTTTTGAAGTTAGTAACAGATTTGACCAGGCTCGTTAGTAACCATCTCTGTCAATGGTTGGAGTCAGAACTTTCCGTACATACTCTATACTACAAGAGCTACGTCGGTTCGTTTCGTAGGAGTCGGTGTCAATTCGCCGCCATATAGTGAACAATAACCCAGCACTTTCCTTTACCTACCCAACTTCAATTTCTGCTTAGTCACAGGCGTGTGTTTTATTGAAAAAAAAAACTACTAAATTACCCTTGAAATTAGTTAAGACTTGCTGAAAATGCGTTAGTTTTAGTACAGTAGACGCAAACTGACCATTGCCGTGATGATGGTTATGTAATTAATTGCGTTAGTATGGTATCTTTGGCTTTGAAAAATAGGTCTAGTTAGGCCTTTTGCTGATTTGTGTACTTTTCGTGACCCGTTCAATTGAATTTAATTCAGTGACTGGTTCATTCAATTAATTACTTATGAAGATATCAATGAAAGCGTTATGAGTGGATTAGTTTGATCATCCAGATATCGATTAAGGCTTCCTGCCAACTTATACGTAATTGTGACTTTGTAAACTTATCAACTTCAACTTACAGTGGGGGGAAATAAATATTCGTACACTTGAAAAATCGTATTTTAATGTATGTAAGTACACAAACTTAACAGGAGAAGTGATTTATATTATGTATAGAGGCGCATTGTTAACATGTTGCATTAATTTTTGTTGCATTGAGATTTAATTTCTATTGATGCTATTTTTGAATACAATGCGCCTCTATACATAATATAAATCACTTCTCCTGTTCAGTTTGTGTACTTACATACATTAAAATACGATTTTTCAAGTGTACGAATATTTATTTCCCCCCACTGTATATCAATTATGGAAAGATCGGGTTCCAAAGGCCTGATCCCTTGCAAATCAAGTCACGAAAAGTTCAAGAATCGGCAACAGGCCATGGGCCTATTTCTTCAATGCCGACACTTCTGTTCTAATCTCTTAAAATATTGACTCCCAGAGACACTGTTTTTTGCTTTTAGCTTATTTTGCTGGAAATCTCCTTACGATACTTTAGTTCGTCTGTAAGATATTGTTACCTATATTGCTCTGGCTGTTGAGTCATAGCCGTCGGCGGACATGCCGAAAGAGCAATTCTTAACTATCACGATGTACATCAATAGTCTTGATCAGCATTTATCATGAATTTTCTCTCAGAATTTGGAAATTTAATACTTCAAGATTCTAAGAGTCGCTCGAGATGAACCCGGATTAAATTCATCCAAACAAATGCTCAATATAACACACAAATGCTGAATTTTTTCAACACAAATGCTTAATTTAAAGTAGTAATTCTGAAGATAGAGCAATCGTTCCGATATTCGGAAGCGTTTCAAAGGTTAGCGAGAATTCGGTCAACTTTGGCATTTCTCAAATACGTAGAGATTTTTTTAACGTTTGAAGCGAGCAATACACTCACTTTCATTGAAGGAGCAAATAAATCAAGATATTTTCAACATTATTTGCATTCATTCAATTCTAGTATACGCAATTTTGTACGATATTAGATGTTTAAATAAATATGCCTAGAATTAATAAGTAAATGTGCTAAATAAGGAAAATTCAATACTTTTAATGCCGAATGGTATAGCATTTGCATAGAATTTTGAACCTATTCTATTCGACGTTTCTTTATATATTTATAGCATTATAACTAAGATGCCACTTTGCTAACGAGTAACAGGCACTCTCAATCAGGGTAGCCAAGGGTTTCAAAAAGTGCGAAAAAAAAGAAAAAATTTAATTTCCACATCGTAACCTAAATATATACTAATATATATCGAATTACGAGCCTTTTTTGTGCGCGGACTTGGCCGTTTTTTAGGCGGCCATCTGACAAGCTAGCTCTTAATTCTTGGCTTGAAGCAACACCATCCCACCCGGACGCTGCTCGCTAAACTCAGATTGGTTTTAAATGAAGGGCAGTGAATGGCAAGCAATGTATGAGCGGACAAATATTCATTATTGTAATAATGCATGTCTCTAAATCAGCCATTGTAATGCCTAAACGCAAAAAAAAACAATTTATATGCGAACACTTTTGCCATCGAGCGAGCTTTTACTGAAGATAAATAGTTAACAGTTTAGGATATATTCAGTGACTTTTTATGTGAATGAATGAGCATTACGTGAAGTTCGTAAGCTTAACAGTATAATGGGATTGAGTGTAGCATGTACAATACAAATATATCGTATATGTGGCGCATATATATAGCTGCATATAACAGTTTGTAAGATCAACTAGGGTTTTAAGTAGTAGTGATATAGCCAAATAATTATTTACCACACAATAAGTAAATTCTATCAACAAGAAAACTAATGCCACATGAAATATATAAAATAACTTACTAATAATTCCACGGTAAAGAGCAGGAGGCGAGGCCAGTATGAGACACAAAGATAAAAAATCCACAGCCTTTCAGTGACGCGCACCACATCTAGTGACAATCGTTTTTATTCATGTTAACTATAGCGCAAAATTCATTAGAAATAATTAAGGTATGATTTAAATGAATTAACTCCTAAGCAGAGTCCACGATATAGAGAAATTAATGTTGAGCTCGGAACAGGAACGTGAGGAATACATTGGGTAAATGTACTTTTTTGCGAAGATACAACTCTTCTTAAATTTAATACGTCGAGTGCGGCTCGACCAACAAATTCCGCGATTTAGTTTTTTCAATTGCTTTTGTCGACAAAAATTTATGATGGCAGTACTTCATCATTAAATTTTAAAAAGTACGGTATGGAAAAAATAAAATCTAATTTTTGCACCGGAACCGACATATTCGCTGGTATATTTTTAATTATAGACCGAACTCATACGTTGGTGTTACGTAATGAGTATTGGTCGAAGTTTTTGTCGGATATTTTGGTTAGACTGAAACTAGCAGAAACAATGTTCTATTTCTTAAAAGAGAAACTGTAGAAAAAGCTGCGAGCATCTTATACTAACTCCCAATTAGACTTATTTTCAAAATTCATAAAAAAATAAACACTGACGCATAATATACAAACGCAATAATAAATTGCCTGCCGGCACCTAAAAAGTCTCCACAGTACAGGACACAAATATCGGCTTGACTTAGACTGGATGAAGTCCGTTAAGACTCTCAGCAACCTCAGCTGAATGGCGAAGAAGATCGAACCGACCGCCCCAAGCGTTTCCGCAAGCCCGGATTTTTCTCACCTTGATCGTTACTTTTCAAATTCAACAATTGTTCTTCATTATCAAAATTGGTCTCCGAATCTTCAGCTTCGAAGCCTGTAAAAGAATCTTCGTCGCTTAAAAGAGGAATTAGTTCTGATTTATTTGGAAACAGAGAATCGACATCAGAAAAATGAGACTTTGCACCAGAAAGATTGTCTTTGGTACTTGAACAGAACACATTCGCTTTGGCTTTGGAAGTTTGAGTGACGAATTTTTTCATGAAGTATGCAGGTTTAAATTTCTTATCAACAACCGCCGAAGAGTATGGGGCGACCGGTTTGAAGTTAGAAATGTCGGTTTTCTGTGAGGCTGAAGAGAATGGGGCGACCGGTTTGTAGTTAGAAATGTCGGTTTTCTGTGAGGCCGAAGAGTATGGGGTGACCGGTTTGTAGTTAGAAATGTCGGTTTTCTGTGAAGTCTTGGACGGTCTGAAGATGAGAGTTTGTTTGTTATCGTCTTGTGTTTTGCGAGGACTGGTACTGAGTGCGACGAAGACGATGTCCTGCAGTGACCGCAACATGTCCAGCCACACTCCTAGTCACTTGGACCACAGGTCCCTGGCGCGCTCTTCCATCGATCTTTTGACTTCCCTGGGATAAAAATAAGGTCAAGAGATCAAAAATATAGAAATGAAAAGTGTGTGATGCATGTTAACGAAACCTCGAAATTAAATGAAACTCGTAATATGAGAGAATGAATAAGTTTTGATATTGAACGAAGGAAAATAATTAGATAGGGCACAAAAATATAAGAAATTCAAGGAAAACAAAGCAAAATATTTTATATCCTGCATAGCAAAACAAAAAAATTGTTAATGATATGAATGTAGCAAATATCAAGTCTATGTTAGCAGAAAATAAAATCATTTTTAGCATCAGCAAGGCCTCGAATCAAATTTAAAAAACATCATTTCTTCCTTTAGGCTGAATTTAAAAACACGGTCTTTAGAAAAGCATGACAGTGTCGGCATTAAAATATTGAAAATAAGGCCGCACTACAAAATGACCTTAAAATATAACAATAAAATGCAAGAAGTCATGTTCAGCATAGAAATTATCACTGAAAAGATCTGTAATTTTGGAAAACAAGAGAAGGGAAAAGCATCGAAATATTTCCAGGTCGCGTTCACCACGGAAGATTTCATATATTCTTTGCACGCACGAACAACATCGGCCATTTGACTTATAATACAAAACACGAACAAAACTTGGGATAATTTTTTATACATTTGTGGTCTCTGTGACCAGGGCCTATACTTTCAAAAAAAGTTAAGAGATCGTAAGTTCATCAGCCAATCATTGACGGCCTTTCGAGCAAAATCCACCAATCATAGACAAGAAAATAGAGCGTAAGTACTTACGTTCACTTAGCGAGTTTTGAAAGTATATGCCCAGGTTACTATCGCTTTTAAGACATTTATTCGAACAACGTTTTCTTGCGTGCGGGATTTTAAGGTCTTATGAATACATGACTTTAGTTCCTTCTCTTGCCTAAGGATACCAACACGCTAATTAGTGAAGTATACAACACGCTACATTAGTTATTACATATCATTCCAGCTCAGTATTTAACAAGTACATGCGATTATTTTTAAACAAAATTTACAAGGAATTTCAGAGGCTGCAATCGTATCAATGGAAAAGCAGTACAATCCAGGGTTGTCACAACCAACGAACTAAGTAATGCAGAAAGATAGAATTCATACACAAGTGATACAACTTTTTATATAAAACTAGCAAATTTATTATTTCAAATTTTTTCATTGTGGGATCAAACCAAAGCCATTTCGGTTTATTTTAGTAAAAAACAAACAGAATATTCAGAGAATTGATTATTTAAAGAAGGTATCATGGTTGTTACTCCCACCTCTGACGCCATCCATCGCTGGCGCTGGTAACACACAATAATTGCACGTATTACATTATCTAAGAATATTTAAAATGCATATACAAATTATTAAAGATAACGGTGAACGTCTAGAGCATATAGTAATAAAACTATCACGTCTTTGGCGTTATTTCTTTGCCTTTGGTTACTTGCGTGTACGTTGTATTGATTCTGTCTGAACTTGAGAACCAACAAAAAAATTATGACATTCATATTAAGGAGTTATTTATATGACATAACGCTAGCCCCAATAACACAGATTTTTTATGTTATTTATATTTGTATGTATTTTTTGTATGTATATGGCGACTTATAAACCTACAGAATGCAAAATGCGCTTAACTCGACTACGACTGTAACAATTTCCGAGCGCGAGGAAATAAGATTTCGCACAAGAGGACAAGAGAAAGAGAGAGTAGGAGCAAATGTAATAAACTTCAAAAACTAACACGGACTAGAACTACGTGCCTTGGTACAGGATAATAGTTGACACGGCCTAAAACAAAGTGGCTTGCCGCACGGTAAAGCTAAGGCCTGTTGACGACATGATGGAGCGCTGCGCGTTCAAGTGAAGGGATCCACGCAAAGCTCTCTGAATAATACTAAATAACGCTGAAAACTTCTAAATTAAGCAAGGATAAAAACTTGAATAACAATTAATGCTGAACACAAACTAAAATAAACTGTACGTAAGCTTCTCACCGCCGCATCAAACAGACCGGACATCTCGGTGCTCTGGGCCCATACTTTCAAAAAAAGTTAAATGTTCGTAAGTTCATCAGCCAATCATTGACGGCCTTTCAAGCAAAATCCACCAATCATAGACAAGAAAATAGAGCGTAAGTACTTACGTTCACTTAGCGAGTTTTGAAAGTATGGCCCCTGTTCTGTGACGCTACATAACTTACGGCTGCAGTTACATGGCTTTATCTTGACAGTCTTTATTTATGAATCATTGACTATTCGGTTATAATTGCGCAACAAATAGCCCAAGTTTAACAACGGGACTTTTAGACATAACACAGCTTAAATTGTCAACGTAACACAGCTATAAATTTAATTTTAAACGTTACTGCCAAGAATTGTATTGACGACTAAATTTACAAGTGCCAGTCAATCATTCGCTTGAAGGCACAGACATCATATCGTCAAATGAAGCCACATGAATATATATTCACTCGCATGCAGTAAAATTATGTTCTGAAACAAAAAATTATATCATAATTAATATTAAATTACATATAATTGCTATATAAACTTCCCAATGGGACACAGCTTTATCATCCCTAATGTCTTCCAATATTATTGGCTATTTTCTGATAAAAAATATTACTCAATTAACTTCCTCCTTGAATGATATTGTTTATTTTTTCATTACAAAATAATTTAATTATTTTATAATGAAATTTAATTTTTTGTTATACACAATAATTTAAATATTTTATACTGAAATTTAATTTTTTCTTATACACAATAATTTAATTATTTTATAATGAAATTTAATTTTTTGTTATCCACACTAATTTAATTATTTTGTATAACCGATAACACGCCAAGAGTTCAGGAGGGACCGACAGATCACAATGAGCGATGAAGCTACAGGTTAAGGTCTGTAATAAACAATATGCTAGAACAAAAGCTCAAATTTTCCATCTAATTCATCTGAAAATTGACTATTCAGAAAGTTAATATGCAAAGAATAATTATGAAAAATTACAATAGTGTCAATATCGTTCATAATAGCTGCAATAGTATTTATGTAGATCTATATTCTACATGTATAAGAGAAACTTTGATACTACCCGCTATAAATAATTATTATCTAATCAATGAACATGATTCCTCGCACAATAAACCATGTTCATACGATAAAAACAATAAAACAACAAGTATAAATTGGATTTGATTGAATCAAAGGAGATTTACTAATCAACGGAGGTGCAGCTCATAGAGTGACAACATTAATGAAATATAATAAATAAATGAACTTATGTTGTAAATGTAATAATGTATATATGTAAATGAACAAAATAAATAAATGAACATAACAATTGCTTGTTATGTTGATTTACTAGTCAACGGAGGCGCAGCTCATAGAATGATCACATTAATTAAATAAAATAAATAAATGAACATAACAATTGCTTGTTATGTTGATTTATGTGTATTTATGTATGATTTATGTATGCTTGTTATGTTGATTCTCTGGGGAGCATGAAGAAAATATTTTAAAAATATACTACGATACTAAGAAAAACAATAAAAAAACCTTAAGGCATATAAAAAAGCAGTAGCATCATGAAAAAATACTTTGGGTTCACTCTTGAATATTTTGCACAATTTATTCTGTAATCCTTATCGAGCTTGACAACCACATTTGTTTTCAATTAACCGGTCTCAATTAAACGTAAATAAAGTGTATATTGCTATGGATACCCACGAGGGCCTTTATTATGTCTAGCCATTTATACGTCACAAATCTACCATCTCATCACTTCATATCACTGGCGTTCACATAGAAACTCTGATATTAAATTTAATTAAATTCGATCGCATTTATTACTGACAAATTTTATGGTCATATTGGAGGGAAGATAGGTATCTAAGAGAAGGCAATGCAAAGGAAAACAAACAGAAAATATGTGAAGTAAATGGAAATAAACGGTTATTTATTGCCGACAAAACTTAATCCCACAAATGCCCTGCCTACACAACTGCCCTGCCTACAAAACTGCCTTGCCTCCACAGCTGCCCTGCCTATACAAAGTAGCCGCGATCAGAAGTCAGGACTTCTGACGAACTAAGACGCGCGTCTGATCACAAACTGGATTAAACAAGAACCAAATAAACCACAAAAGACAAAATCGTTTGCGGCAGTAAAAAAAGAAAAGCAAAGAAAAGAAAATTAACTTAAAGACTATCCTAAAGGAACTGAAATGACTAAAACACTTAATTTAGTATGCACACACATCTGCCTTGAAAGCGTTCTTAGTCATTACACATAATTACATTAGCCACCATAAATGTGATATTTGAAATGTGCACTGTAACAGTATTTGAAATGTGCACAGTAAGTTGTAAACAATATTTAATATCAACGTTACAACTGGACAATTGGCTTTCAATCAAGAAAGGTTTATATACGTGTCAGTGAACAAAATGGATTGAGCTGTTAAACTTTTCCTTATGCCGGAAAAGTATGAAAACAAAAGTATTTTCTCAAAGTAGTGACAGTAAAATTGATACCGTGTATAACATAACGGTCACACAATTAATAAATGACATAACAGTCACACAACAAAAATGAAGGACACAATCAGAAACTAAGTTATTTATCCCATCATGAAATCTTAGCTGAAACAAGTATATATGATTGAATTCTTACACCTTCAAGAAAAATTTTAATGTTTTCAAAAAGAAATCTAAGTAGACACAAAATTATTACAAATTTTCTTTTAAAGTTACAAGGAAGCGTTGCAGTGTCAATTATTGCAATAAAAGGTTTTACAGGATCAGTAAGTATTTGCCAAATGCAACAGCTGATATTCAATAATAAATCTTCAACAATAACCAACAGTAACAAAATTTAAACAAGAAAAATATGCCACCTTGTTTGACACTTCCATAATCATGTCAAAACACTACAAGTTGAACTTTGGTTCCACCTCCATATGTCAAATAAAAAACTTAACTTGATCAAGTAATCAATGATTAATAAATTCCAAACAGATACAACTTGATGCTAGAGAATAGGTTATAAAGTTCTGAATAGAATTCACACATTTTGCTGTGCTTTTAATAACAACTTAGAACTTTCAATTTAATGAGTTAAGTTTTCACTGGTGTTAATAACAACAATAGAACAGAAAAGTTCCATAGTTCCATAGGAAACATCATCCCCCTAAACACCAGTGAAAACATAACAAACATTTTCATGTAGGTATGTTTTTTATCAAGACCATCAATATCATCACTCTAAATACTAGAAAATTTGGATTTGAAGTTTTGAATCTTGAACAAAAGCAGTCATAATAAGTGAATTGTACTCATTTTAATATTTATAATTAATTGCTCTCATAATAGTTCCAATGTCAGGCATAAATGAAATTGGCATTGTTTTTTTGCGGTAAGAGATAGGTAGTTAGTTATCAAGTAATCCGGAGTCATAAATAATACAATAAAAATTCTTTTTCTACAGCTGGCATGTCCTGTAGATGATTCATATCAATACTTTTATGCAATACTCATCATATTAACGATTGAAAATATCCATAATACCACTACCTATCCACTACCAAGTAGGCAAAATGTCAAAGACTCAAAAACCCAACAGAAAAAAACTCTAGAATTTGTCAAATTAAAGTCTACAGCAGGCTGGAGACGTCAAAGACTCAAAAACCCAACAGAAAAAAACTCTAGAATTTGTTAAATTAAAGTCTACAGCAGGCTGGAGACTGGGACAATGACCCTACATGTTGATCTCCTGTTCCCAGCCAATGGTCTCAAGCAGCACTCCCATTGGTGACCGGCGCAAACCCGTCCACTCAAGCTTGTTCAGAACCTTGTTCCGCAGGTTGCGCAACCTCATTGAAGCATGCACGAAGATAACTGCAAGAGTGGCAAACATTAGCTCACAGATGTGATACAAGATATCTGCACTAGTATCCAGCCTCAGAGGTATTTAATCATAAACATCATGCCTAATAAAGAAATATAACTCAGTACTCACTGCAGTGAGTGACAGAGAGTGCATTTTCTCATCGACCAAAACGTGAAGTCACGGACAGGCAGACGGACAGACATGACAAGCATAATAGGGCATTTTTCCATAAATGAGAAAATGCACTAAAAAGAGTTCAAATAAAGAAAATTCAAGTTATTTGGCTAGCTCATAGTACAGAATTGTAAGAATATCAAAGATATTTTTGTCAGTGGTAAACTCATTAATGATAAACATACCAAGAATAGGTAGAAGTATGCCAAGTAGAAATGTAGCAATGCTACCCATGAGATAGACGACCATTCCAGCGACACCAAACAAGGAGGCCACAAAGATCAGAGGATGGTTTTTCTTGAAGCTATGAGCAGACTCTTGATTTTTGGTGAGCAGATAGAAGAGGCCTCCTGCCACTGCCACAGCCATGGTTCCACACAGCATCTTGGTAGGGTGCAACAAGCTGAAAAAAGAATAATGTATAAGAAGCTGATTTGTAAACACAGCAAACTATTGGTCAGTATTAAAGGAATTAAAGGAATTCATAATGACAAGTTTGGAATAAGTTAATTAATCCATCATACATCAGGCTCCAAACCTTCTGAGCAGAGTCATTTTTCAAGAAATCACTTTTCTCAACATAGCTAGTAATGAGGAAAATATTTAAATAAAAGTTTGCTTTTGAGCCAAAAGATTTTTTTTCTCTATTAAAATGAGTATTTGTTGTCCTTGTGGATCTTGCCTGCCAGCTAGGGAGGAAAAATATCTCATCTCTGAAGCGAGACTGGATTTTTTGAGCCATGGTTTTATGGATTTGCAAGCTGAACATTTTATGGAAGCTGAAAATTTTATGAAATGACATGTTTGCAAAGTGTAAACCGCAATTTCTTCAATCAAACAAAACTACATGACATTAGAGGATTTAGAGCCATGGGATTTCATACCCACTGAAGTTATACCGGTATAAAAATTTCAGAAAAAATATAACTCAGTACTCACTGCAGTGAGTGATAGAGAGCGCATTTTTTCGTAGACAAAAACTAGCGGTCACGGATGGACAGACGGACACGGCGAGCACAATAGTGCATTTTTTCCATAAATGAGAAAATGCGCTAAAAAGTAGGACTTCTCCCAAATAGGCTGCCAGCAAAACTACAAGATTAAAAAATTTAATTATGGAATTGACAGTGGATACCAAGTTCCTGTTCTGAGTGGTGAGTACTGTCTGCACAGTGCACACATGGTTAGAGAAAATTTTATGAAAATGTCATAGGTAAAATTCTTCATCATTTAGAATTTATACAAACAACTATTTCTTGTTATGCTCACTGATTGCTGTGAAACATGCCATCAATTGGGGTTACCTTTAAGGAACGGTTTTGACCGTCCTTTTGTTAATAACTTCTATCATGAAACATTTCATAAACAAGATTGGGCTCATTTTAAAGGAATTTGCGAGGGCTATCATATGGCATCTCTGAAAAAATTCCATATGCCATTTGTACAGTGCCAGACACAAAATAAAAGCGTCCCTAATTACCCCTGGGCAGGGCTGTAAAAGTCATACTTTTTTATGAAATATTGCGGCTCTAATGTCATGTATTTTTGTTTGATTGAAAAAAATTGTGATTGGCACTTTGCCACTTTGCAAACATATTGTTTCTTAAAAATTTTAACTTCCACAATCCACAGTACTTCAATGCTCCTGCCAAAATATCATGCAGAACATAATAACAACAAGTCAATCAAAAATGTTTCCTTGAAAATAGCATAGTTGCGGACTTGCGGTCGTCATAATGGTTGGACAGCATTTTCACGTGTTCAGTTGTCACTTAAGTGAAGACAAATGTTAGCATTACTGTCTTCAAGGTAAAATTAGAGATTTGAGGTAACACATGTAAATGGGGTAACACGACACGAGAGATTTGGGGTAAAACGACTTTGTAAATAAGTTTGCACTTGTAAATGGCTTCAAATGGCCAAGACATGGAATTCATCACTCAAAGAAATGGAATCATGGCTGGCAAACCCATAAAACCACGGCTCAAAAAGCCCAGTTGCAGCTTGTCATTATAAATTGTCAAGTAGATATATGCCATGCCTCCTCCTGGGAATGGGCTAATTAGGGCTGGGAGCCTGCCAGGGTGCAGAGGATGGAAGCAACGTTGCCAATAAATGGGGTTTTAAGCCCAAAGCATCGCCAACCATTTTCAAGATGCGTCGCCAGGGAATTTTTAATGAAAAGCCATTTATGCTGAGTAATGAAAAACTATTTACAAGCCACGAACTTATTTACAAGGTTGCATGCATGTGTTGCCCCAAATAACTAATTTTACCCTAAAAACAGTCCAATAGTAGTAGTATAGAGACCGAGCGCATGGCGCCATTTTCCATAAACAGCTTAAATCATAGGTTACCCCAATCTTACCCTCGAATATTATCAACAAAATTACCCAATTACCCCCAAATTTGTATAAACAGTCTACCGATCATGAATCTTGCCCAACAAAATTAACCAATTACTCCCGAATCACGACTTAACGATCATTTACCCCGATTTCACTACACTCTTTAACCGAGAATAACCTAGAGCGATTGCCTGAAAAATACTTCTGTGGAATATATAATTGATTTAAATTTTTGAAATACTTTCCAGAACCGGGGTGCTCATCTTTATTAATCAACACAAAACTATAAGGT